AATTGGATACAAAAAAATCTGTTAGTCCCTGTCTAGTTCCAGTCTAAGTTGTGTAAAGCTTATAAACATTAATACTCTAGTAGTGTCAAAGCTGTTTAGCAGTTCAGTGATTTGAGTGCCTTTCTGTGCAAGAAAACACAATGTTAGCATGTGATATATAAGCAAAAACACCCATTACTAACCTCTGCTCCCCAGGACCAGAGAAGAAAGCATAAGGAAAAGCAAAAAGTTCCCCAGTCCCACTCTTAGGAAACAGCCCCCAAACCCGCCCACCCCAATCTCCAAAACAAAACGAAACCCAAGGGGAAAAAACAAGAAGAAAACGATCTGAATGAGCCCCAGAATCTGGAAAATCATCTCCGAGTCTGAGACAGTGAAATGCCTTGGAGGGCTGTGTTATTCGCCAAGCAAATGCCCTGCAGACAAAGAGCAGCCCTGCTTCCCCACGTGCATCGGGGTGGTTGTTATTTCCACCAAAAGCCACCTCGGAGCAGAAGGTGTCTCAGGACATGCGCATTCCCCACCGCCTTTGCTCCTCCTCCCCAAATCGTCACCACGTCTCCCTCGAGCTGGGCTCTATAAATGCAGTTTTAGGGGTTTATGAGTTTATGCAAGGGACAGCATCATGAGCTCTGTCACACAAGCTCTGTAACTCATCCGGTTGCTATGTGCATTTTTTTTTTTACAAGTGTGGCTCAGTCCTACCTGGAGGAATGAGGACCTGTGGAGCAGTAAGATGGGTAAGTAACCACCTTCCTCATCTCTGGTTGGAGAGAGAGAGATCCTCATGTGCTGGGAGCAGAAATACAGCTGCCACTCAGAGAGAAACAAAACTGTGTTGTCTGTGCATCTAATGACCTTGGAATAGCACAAGGTCACAGCACAGCTGAGGAGGCTGGTCCCGTGCAAAGGCACGAGGCCAAGCAGAGCTTTTGGCAGTCAGAAGCCACTTTGCTGTGAGCGGCTTGGCAAGCGTGTAGTGTTTTTGCTAAAGACACGGATTATGAAGCCCTGCAATAGGAAAATGGACCCTGCAGCCACCCTGATGTCCAGAAAGGACAGATCCTCTCACTCAGCAGCCAGTCTTGCCCCTGTTTTCCTACCTCTACCTGTCCTCCTGCACCATGCGCATGTCCTGGGACAGGACTTGTCTCCTGGGTAGCCTAAGGGATGGGGAAGCCACTGCTCTTTGGCTCAGCTTTGTTTTTCTTTCTGTCTTTGGTGCTACAATTGAAAATAAAAATAAAAACAACATCAGCAAAACCACATATATATAAAAAAAAAAGCATTAAGATATGCCAATACTTCCTGAAGAGGTTAAAAAAAAAAAAAACAAAAACAACTCCCCAAACAAACAAACAAACCCCTCAACAAGTACATATCTGAGGTATTTCATCTGCTCAAAAAAACCTGACTCGGGCCTGGAGGATGGAAAGGACGTCACCAGGGCAGGATGGATAGGGCTCAGATCTGCTCTCCAGGCCAGGGGAGATGTGTGTGTGGGAAGGGCCAGCCCAGGACCCCGCAGGAGAACATGTGAGTGGGAGCTGCTTTGAGGCGGAGCTTTGGAGGGAAATGACAATGACTTCGTTTCTCCTGCTTCCATCCAGCAGGTCTGATTTGAGTGAGGGCCACTTTCGTGGTGCCAATCTGAAGGGGACTTGTTGCTTGTTCAGAGAGCAACTGAGAGAAGTGTTATATGCTAACCATAATATACACATACACAGCACAGCCCCTCTGAAGTAGATTTTAAATATCACCTATTTCTGAGTGCATGGACATGGAGAGCATCCAGGGGCTACTGAAGTACAGCTTAGGAAGTCACTCCAGGAAGCCTAGATGGGCTCAAGTGACAGCCCTTTTGTGTCACGGGGCTCCAGATCTAAACCAGGCAGAACTAAGTTCAAGCAGTCAGAATAAATGTCACAGTGGATGAATCTCCTATGGAGAGAGTGACAAGCTCACTTAAAACTTGGCTGAAGGCCTGCAGAAAGCAGCGGCAGGAACAGGCCAGCAGCAGCCAGAATGAAGCAGCTCATGGATCTGTTTTTCTGTCTCTATAGATCAAACGTAGTGATGGGAAAGTCCTCCCTGTGCTGCCAAGACCTCGAAGAAGGGGAAAAAGGTTCCCTAGGTGGCTCCAGCCCAGTCTGGCACTCAGGGGAGGACGTACGAACCCTGGACAACGATGGAGCTCGCCGAAGAGAAGCGGGGAAGCTCCCTTGCTCTGCAGCTCCACAACTGTCTGCAGCCAAAGCCAGCAAGGGGCAGGGGGACAAGGTGCCCTGATGGCTGTTAGGATTGTCAATACACTGAGTTGCTTTATGGGAAGAGTCCAGGTGGCTCCTGGTCCAAGGAGAAGCCTATTTCCCTGCCCTGACCCCAGCTCTTTTCCACCTGCCTTGGTGACGTCTCAGCCATCCATCCACCCGCAGCTCCTAGAGACGATTCCCTGATTGAAAAACGCCAGGCGTGCCCCCTTCTCCACATCCCACCCCCAGCAGGAACACAGCAAACCCTGGGAGGAGGAGGAGGAAGAAAAACAAAAAGTCAAAGGGAGGAAGAAAGGGGAGAACAAAGAAAAGGGCTGGTACGGACAAACGATGAGGATAGAACTCGCTGGCAGGGAAAGCCCTCAGCATCATCATCGTGGCCAACCGCAAAGCAGGTTCCTTGAGATGAGGTAATCTGTGCGACTCCTTCCCGGCTCCCGTGGCCCCGCACAGGGACAGGGCTGCCGGAGGCCAGTGCGAGACAGCAGCCTCTGCCCCCATCAGAGAGACCAGCTGGTGGAGGGCTCTGCGCTCGGTGTTCCCCGGGACGAGGTAGGGCTGGGAGAGCAGTGGGAGCTGCTGCTGCTGCTGCAGGAGCTCTGGGTGCTGGAGCCTGCGATGAGGTGGACGACGGGCTTCTGCGCGAACAGCACTCCTGCAAGCACAGGCAGCGAGGGGAGGACGTTACGGGGGCACGCGAGCGAGAGGGACATTGCAGAGGGCCAGAACGCTCTCCGGGCCCGCGGAGATCGCGGAGACCTAAGAGCCCTCTGCAAGACAAACAGGAGATGGATGGACAAGGAAACAAGACGGCACAGCCGGGGCCTCTCCTCTGGCTTCTCTGCCTTAGGGACAGCCTGGTGCCTTCAGAGAACCGAGAGATCCCAACCAGCTTCAACGCCTCTGGAGGTGAGGAGCATCTTTCTCCCATGTAGGCTTTGTCCAAGGCTTACATGGAAGGCCCTTCCCTGGAAAAGGTGGATTTCCCATCAGGTCCCCTCTTCTCTGTCACGGCAAAACACTGTTTGTGAACTGTCAGCAAAACGGTGCCATTAGGACACCTCCAGTGTAAAGAGATCAGGGCAGAAAACTGAATAAAATAATAAAAAATCTCTTGTACAAATAAGAAATCACAGGAAAATAGCATTCGGATGAGTGAAAAAATATAATCAATAACCAGCACCAAAAGGACACTATCCTGACAGGCTGGGAGTGAAAAAAAGGGAGAAGAAACCATCTCCCAAACTTCCTAAGCAGCCACGTTTTGTGCTGGGTTTTGGCAAAGGACCGGCCCCAGGGAACAGGCCACCCTCTCCACATCCCACTCTGCATCCCATGTCCACTCCTTTGCTCGTCCCGGGAGCGATTCCTTCTCACCAGTGTAAATTGTGCCGTTGATCTCCACCGACATGTTAATGCTCCCAATGCCGTTCGGTGACAAATTCAGAGCTGCCGCCGCTGCCGAGTCCGGTTTATCTTCTTTGGAGAAAGGGGAGATGCAGAGTTAGCTCGTGACTCCCTGTTCCCCACGCTATCCAGATGTGTTCAGGGGTTTACACAGGGTCCTTGGCCTCCTGATTGATGGGGAGATCCCTAGTGAGCTGGACTAAGGAGCCCTCCAGAAGGACAAGCCCAGGCTGCAGCAGCTCCAGCGGCCACTGGAGGGAGGGAGACAATCCAAGAGCCAAGGAGCCCAAGGTAGGAACTCTGGGCAGGGAAATGCGCTTCCTCTTGGCTGGCCCCCAGCTGGAGACTTTTTTAAGCTGTTATGGGCCAGATTCCTGAAAGCGGCAGGCAGGATTTGTGCCAGTGCCAATGCACAGCAGGGCACCACTTTGCACTGGTTTTTAACAGGTTTTAATTTCAAACTCTCCTGGACTTTTCCAAAAACTCTAACATATGTAATTTGTAAGTGTGAATCAGGGAGGTAGGATTCTTTCTGTGGGTGCACAAATTCGTGCTCACAGGTGCATGTTTTTAGCTACCTTTCAGCCTGCTGGGACAGCAACGCCCTGGAAAAGAGTGCTGAAAACACTTAACATTTAGCCTAAAAAATGTTAACATGTAACTAGGTTAACATTTAGCCTAAAAGTTGCTATCAAGTTAAGTTTAAATAATCTCACAAAGTGTTTTCCAAAAGTGACTTTACAAAGAAGCACAGTATTATTTTTGATTTGCGACTGGGGAAATTAAGGCACAAGCAGCAGATGGACTTGTCCATACCCCCCAGCCAAGGTGGCAGTAGTGTTGTTGAATCCTTTCGAGGATTCAGCCTTCAAGGATGTCCCATTTCTATCAGCATGTTACTACCTGAAGCGACAAAAACAGCTCCTAGCATTTTTGCTTAGGAAGTTCAGAGTGGAGAGATAAGCAAAGCAATAAAACAGTGAGAGGAGGCAAACACTAGCAGTACTTCATAAAACTGGCGTCCCCTTTACTTTTATTTTTTTTAAATGCAAATGTGAAATTTGGGTGGGTGCATAATTATCGGAAAATGTAATGTGAAGTCCTGAGCACATCTAACTCAGCAGCAAACCGCTGCTGCCCTGAAGGGGAGCTTGCCTTGGCCCTCGGCCGTGTCCGTGCTGAGCACGGTGCCGCAGCACATTTTAACGGAGCAAAAGGTTTGCAGGGAACAGCTGCTGGGAGCAAGAGGCGCTCAGGCTTTGCTGCCCGCTGAGGTGCAGCCCCCGGGCCAGGAGCCTCTGCATTTCAGCAGCTCTTGAAGCGGTTCCGTAAAGTATCGACTGTGACAATGGGACCTTCGCGGGGCACCGAGGAGCCGTGTCCCGGCCACGGGCGCTGCTCTCCTCGCCAGCCTGCAGGCGGGCAGGGGGCTGAGCACACGCTGGCAGAAGCCATCTGGTTTGATGGAAGCTCTGGGATAGGCTGGGCCCGGTGGATACACTGATTCTCCTCCTCACACCTGGGAAAGGATTCCTGGAAATTGGGCTTCTCTCTCCCCAGATGCCTCCTGCAGTGCTGCCCACGCAGAAAAAGCTGTAACCTCAGCAAACATTTTTGCTGTTTTATGTTTCCTAACCAGAAAAGAGCAGTAAAAATCCCCTGCAGCTTCAGTGATGGCGTCAGGAGAGCGGAGAGGAGCAGGGGAAAGCTGGCCAACAACAGACTGCCTTTAAACAGCCTTAAAACAGGCTCTCTGATCTGATGTGTACAAAAGAGACTAAACACAGGAGTACCAGGTATGTGGACCAAAGCAATTTCATCTGACCCCTGTGTTTTCCCTGAATGAAGGGGGAACCCAAGAGCACTGGCTGCAAGCAAAACCAAGCTGGCATCAGCTGAAAGCAGCAGTTCCCCAAATAACCAACCCTGTAGCAGCTTGAGGCCTGGACTAATGTCACCATGCTCAACCCACACACGAGCCACTGAGGGTCTTGTCTGACAGTCAGGGGGTATTTAGTAGCTTGGGTGCAGAGGCTCCAGAACGTAGCCAGATGGTTTCCGAAGCCAGACAGGGTCACGTGTCGACAGGAATAGAAGGAAAATGAGAGCAGTAGGAAAGAACTCTGGAAAAGTTGCTATAGATGATGGCTGCAGTTACCGTGGCCCACTGCAGTAACTGACTGGCCCAGTGCCGTGTGAGATGGTCCAGCCTATGTGTGAAGAGGTGTTTGACATTCCTGACTGGGAGCAGTTGCCAAAGACCTTTTGTTCAGCTGGAGGCACAGCTTACCCTTGCCATTGATTTTGATCTTCATGGGGATCTGCCGTGCCATGCTGAAGAGGTTGCGCTGCAGAGCCTGCTGGACGAGCCGCTGCTCCTCCTCCGTCATCCGCGACACCTTCTTCTCCGGAGGCTCCCCAGATTCCAGTCTCTCCCGCAGCTGTTCCAGGGTGGCTGTTCTGGCCACCACGGATGCGGGCTGGCTAGCCAAGGTCACTGGCACAGCAATACGGTTTGGCATGGTCACGGTCAAGGGCACCCCATCACCTGCGGAGGGAAACGGTCACGGAGGCCCCGCCACGGCCCGGCCTGGCGCTCGCAGCGGCGACCAGCAGGTCGTGTGGGAAGGGTAAAGCAGAGGGCCCCGGCTCCGCAGCTCTGCGCTTGCATCAGGCAGCTCCTCAGAACAGCCCTCTCCCACCAGCCGCCCAAGGCTCCTCCCAGCAGCCGCTTTGGTGGCTGGGAGCCGTGCCGCAGCCCCCAGAGACCGCGTGGTTTTGCTGATGCTCAGGGGGTTGAGATCACTACCAGCAGCCACCACATGGCAGCTGATTTTCTCTATAAAAAGCTTTCTCATCAGGTCACATTTCCAAGGCACCAACATGCTGCACCAGCCCCAGCTGAAGTTGTGGCTCCTGGAACAAAGTCGCCTCACTGCCACTGTCGCAGGCCAAATCTTGAATTTTAGTGTGCGTAATTCGAAAATGCCTGCCCACTGCACTCCAACCTAGTCTTCAGGCCCCTTCTGTAGATAATGAGCGCTTGTTTTTACAACTTCATACAGCAGCACTCCAAGCATTTCTCACCTTCCAGGAAAATAACAAAGATCCATAAATCCCTGCAAGCAGCAGGCACGGTCTGTTTCCCAGACACGGGATGATGGATGAAGACAGATTAAAAGCCTCGCCAGAGGCCTCATGAAAACAGCGGAGTCAGGGCCAAAGCCACAGCAATTCCTAGCTCATGTAAGACCTCTGTTTGCTCTGTTATTGTTCCCTCTTCCCCAAAGCTATAAGTTCCTTAATGCAGTTTGGGATTCAAAGCAGGTCTTGCACATGGACCGTCAGAACATTGGGCAGCTCCTTAGCTACTCGAGTACCTCTATTCTGGGTCCAAACTAGACAAAATGGGAAACCCCCGGGTCCCGCCGCCCGCCGCGCCGTGGGTGCCGACCTTTCCGGAGCGCTGCGGCTGGGGACATGCGGGGGCTGCTGCTCCCACTGCCCGGCGTGACACCGATGATCGGGAAGCGGATCTTGGGGGGGGACAGGAGGGAAGGAGGCGCCGCGGCGCCGGGCGAGTAGCTGAACAACGAGGAGCTGTAGCTGGGCCGCCGGCCTTCCCGCCTGTTGCCATCGATCGCCGCCTGCAGCTCCGCAGGAGAGCTCAGGGATTTCTTCTCGCATTCGTAGGCGTATAAGTACTTCATATACCTGGGGGGAAGGTGAGACGGAGAAGCTTCCAGTTAACCCAGCGCTTGCAGGGGAGTGAGTGCCCTCATGCCGCTACACCCAGAGGAGCAGAAAAGAAGCACCAGAGAGTCCTTCACAGCTAAGAAGCCTCCTAGGATTATATGAGTTAAGATCTTGGACCCTTAACACATAAATGCAATGAAGGAAAATCTAGGAGCTATCTTATTTGTGTTGGGAAGCATTAGGCTGTATAAAACCTTGCAAGCCCTGCTGAATTCTGGCACAGAGCATGGCAGGAGAGGGTCTGTTGGTGCCAAAGGCTTGAGAAATGGCAAAGAGCTCAGAGACTCCCATAACGTGCAAGAAAACAGACATCTGTAACCATGACCTGCTGAAGGCTTCACGCAAGCCATGGAAATCTGGACACTTTCCCTCTGCAGGATCAGCTGGGGTAGTCACTGACCACCAGTGCAGCTTAATGCTGCGGCTTCAGCTTTACTGCATGTTTGCTTTCAGCATTCCTCCTCTCCTCAGCTTATTCTACTCCTTTTCTTTTTATTTTACTTATCTAATCAGCATGAGGTGCTGCAGGCCAGGACAGCAATCCTCACGGTGACCAGCTACTAAATACACATTTCCACAGCTTCACAGTGATAGCAGGCATTAAACGATCTAGTTTATACTTGATACCTGCAAATCAGGAGGCCTCTCTCCCTCCTCGTTGTGCCAGGTGCTACAGAGAGGAGCGGGAGACATTCCTTGCCCTGAGGAGTTTCACTTCTAAGCAGGCAAGAAAGCAGGGGACGCCGGGCGGCAAAGAGAGAGCAGCAGCGCTAGGACTGCAGGCAGGGAAGGGCCGGAAAGGGAACGAGCCGGAGAAAACAAGGGGAGAGGGAGTGAGAGGGAAGGGCACAAGCCGATGTGAGGGGAGGGCTGAACAAAGCAGTTTGGCAGCTCCTCCCTCGTCACAGCGTGCGGCTCCGTCTCCCGTTCCTGTCCCCAGGCCTCCTCTTGCGGGCCCATTCCGCTGCTCGCTTCCTCGCTGCCTGCCCTGGGTGCTGTCCGGACTCACTGCGTTCGGAGCGTGAACGCGGCACTCGTGATGGAGGTGGGCAGGTTAAGGCCTTTGGTGATCTCCCGCCAGATCTTCTTGTTGATGATTTCTACCAGCCCACCCTTCTCAGTCACCAGTTTGTAGAGCATGTAGAGATCCAGGATCTGCTTTGCCATGATGGGGATCCGATTGATGGGCGTTCCTGCAGGAAAGCAGCAAGGAAGGGAGCAGAGTCAGAGACAGAAAACGAGGCCGAGAAAACCAGCGGGTCGGAACGATCGATCTTCTTTCTAATAGGAAATTCAGGCATTTCTATTTGCAGCCTGACTCGAGGCCTCTCCGTGGGCGAGTAAATGAGCCAGAGAAGTGTAGCTACACGGCACGTCCTCCCCATGAAAAATCCTTTCCTGTAGGCAAAGCAGTTATCAGATGAATAATAACCTGCAGCTAAGAGCGACTTCTAAAATAGAAAGAGGGGAAGTAGGGACTATTCAGTCCTAGGGGCCTGACAGCAGCACAGAGGACTCATTTCTTATGGGCTCCCAGGGCAACCCCTGATAAAAATCTGCATCAGGAAGGGGCTGAACAGCCACCCATGGGGATGCTGCTCTCTTGTTCCCAATCTCTGCTATGTTTTATGCTTGGGAATGAAAAAAAAAAATGGGAAGGGGCACATGACATTTGGCAGCATCTCCCTCCTCTCCTACATTTGCTCTCTTCCACGGTCACAAGCACACGGACAGCCTTTTGCAGCGGATTCTGCTCTTAAAAAGCATTTTATTCCTTCCGTTTTCTCCTAAGGAAGCTCCTAAACGCTACTTCCCTCCCTGAGCTCTCCCAAACACAAGAAAACACTGAATCTCTTTTCCGTTTTGCTGGTGTTTAAGGAGATATTTGCTGGGCACACACAGACCTTTGGTTACCGCTTCCGAAAGCTCATGGAAGCCACAGTCTGGCACGGAGCGGCCCCCGGGGACAGAAAACAACACGGGAACACGTGGCAGACGCTTGGCCAAGGCTCCCTGCGCGCCGTAGCCGCCAATGCAACCCAGTAGGAGCGATAACTCACGGCAAGAGGGCTCTGAAGATGGCGCGGACGCAAGAACTTATCTGGTGCCGGGGGCGGCTGCGCACGGGGCGCTGCTCGGGAAACAGCCCGGTCCTTCCTGCTCCACTTTGGTCGTTTTGTGGGTAGGAAAATGAGGTTTTTAACCCCACAGGGCACTTTTCGCAGCGCCTTCAAAGGGTGGGCGGTTTTGAAAGGCCAAACTAAGAGATTTGGGCAAGGAAGGCCCCCAAAAGAAAGTGCGGATGTAGCAACCCTTTTATTTGGCGTAGGAAATACCAGGCTGGATCAAAGAGCAGCCCACTCGAGGCCCGCATCCTGCCTAGGACAAGGCTCTGCCGCAGCCTTTACGGGAAGGCCTACGGAGCACGGCCATAATGGACAATTAGGGGATACCCAGCCCACAGGGGACACTCCTGCCACCACTCATCAGCCAGTGATTCGGTTAATGCCCCGCAGCGGAGCAGTTTATGGCCCTTATAAATGGGTTTTATTCCGTTTAGTGAAAGGGAGCCAAGCTCAGCCCTGCAGATGTTCTCATTACCCATGCAACTAATTTTTTTTTTTTTTTTGGTGGTGGTGGATGCCTACTATGCATTAGCCCGTGGCACTAATTCCCACAGGTTAATGGGATGCTGCATAAATACAAGTAAACTCATATAGGGCTGCCTGAAATCGCACCAAGTCAGTAACGCTCAGCTGCAAGGAAAAGCGCGCAGCAATCTCCTCGGGCTCGCCTGCTCTCCGCTGCTTTTCACGGCCCAGATCTCCTAGCCCTTCCGCATCCGCACAGGTTCATCCTTCCCAAAGGATCATCCTCCCCCGGGCTCCCTTCCTCCTCGCCCTCCATTTTGTCCCGGCGCCGTGGCTGGAGCAGAGGTTATGAGCACAGACAAGAGCGGCGTGCGGCACAACCGCGTTACCAGCCCCGCGTTACCGCTCACCCGCCGCCCTCCAGCCCGCCCCCCCCGCCACAAACGCAGCGTTATCGGAGTCATTCTCCTCGGCTACGCCAGCAAAGAGGCTGGGGTGGCTCCTCCTGCCTCCATCCTCCTCTTTCCCAACCCAAAAAAGCCCCGCTGCAGAGACCTGGCCTTGGCGCTTCGGCTGCAATAAGGACAAATCCCCAATCCCATGGGGCAGAGCAGTGCGACCCACGCGGCCAGGGAGCGCGCGCAGAGCCGGAGCCCCCTGACCCCGGGCCTGGGGCTTCCTCCCTTCTGACACCTTCCCTTCCTGCAGTTTGCTTCTGAACAGGACCTCCCCCTTGAAGCGCCCTGGAATTTAATTAGCAACTCTACAAACTAAGCTAAATGCTATGGATTTTCCTTTGTTTCTCCCCGACCCTGACACCTCCTGTAAAATTTACGCAGGCTGAGAAATTTTGCAGCAGGGACAAAATTAATTTTGCCACTGCAGCGTTTACCCAGGGAGCTTCCTTTGCTTTCACATTTCTACACAAGAGAAGGTCACTGCGGGCAATATTCCCCCGAAGCAGGATGAGCGGCTGGGGCTGTGGAGCTGGCGAATTCCCCATGCTCGGATCCGGAGACATGGAGAGGGGCTGGGGGGAAAGGCCCCCTCCTGCCCTGGGGCAGAGGAAGAGGAGAGCGATAAAGGCTTTATTGGGGGAGTACCGCGCGCGGGCAGGGGAGGCTGCGGCAGGAGCGCTGGCGGCCACGGCGGTGCTGGAGCGGAGCGGCTCTGTGCCCAGGCGGCTGCGGGGCTTGTCAGGGCCGTGATGGATGACTGTCATCTGGCAGCAGCAGGATTAACGATCCGCGGGTCAGAGGGCAGAATTCCAGAGGGAAAGGTCAGCAGCCGGGGGCACAGCATCAGACTTGTTGCCTTTTGATGGCAACTTCACTTTACTGTAGGCCCCGGCCTGCCTCCCTCGGCCCTGCCGCGCGTGCGGGGAAGGCCCCGGCTCCGTGCCGCGCTCTGGGCAAACCAGCTGCTCTCTGGCCTCGGAGCGGAGCCGCAGCCCCGCGCAGCCTCCTCAGGGGCACAACTGACTGGGCAGCCACAAACATCCCTGTCCCTCACGAGGAGCAACCGGCCAAGGCCTTCGCCCCTGTCACAAGCCCCTCCTGCTGCAAGGAGATGCACGAGACCCCTGAGGGGCCGGTGTGGACAGGTTCAATCACCCCCTGCAGTGGGGAGGTGGGTGAAGCTATCAGATCATGTTTTCACCCTTCAAAAGCATCTCAAGAAGAGCCCGGGGAAGGTGTAAACCCCAGGTCATTTTGAAGGACTGTTTTACCTCTGCTCCCCCCGAAATGAGGCCGAGAAGAGGTGCCGGCCACGCTCTGCGCTGGAAGCTCCCTCGCCGACCTCAGGGTTGGTTTTTCCTGCTCTTCATCCCATCCTAGCCCAACTCCCAGGCAGACGGGTGTTAAATGGAGAAAACTGCCACTAGGACCGCTCTTACCAGAGCTGTAATTGCAGGGTTTTGCAACCATTTTGCAGGGTTTTGCAATCATTCTGCAGGGTTTTGCTTGCTTTCGAGCCCTCCGCGATGAGGCCTTGAGCCGAGCCATGGCAGGGAGATCCCTGTGGTGCTGGCAGGGAGATCCCTGTGGTGCTGCGTGCACCACAACTCATCCCACCCAAAGATCAGGGCTGGGAATCACCCCCGCCCCGGAGCTGTGCTTTCTCTCCTTCCTTTTTCCCTTTCCTTCTTGTTTTCTCTCAGGTTTCCTTTCGGAAAGGCCCGTTCCTGGGCGAGGCACACAGCTGGGGAACACCCCAGCACTGGTTTTGCAGAGCAGCGCTCGGTTGTAATAAATACCTCCACACCTGGAAAAAAAGAGCTGTGGAGGGAGATGTTCAGCAACACCCAGTTGCGTTTTGCTGTTCCCCATCTCCGGTCGACCTGTCCAGAAGAAAACAGGGGGCAACCCCAGGCAGCCCAAAGCAGCCGGCCTTCCCCAGGAGAGCACAGAGAGCCCACAGTGACTAAACATAGATGCGTTTTATATACATATAAAGTAGTTCTGAATTAAATCTTGAAGAGATCTTCATGTTTCTTCGGGTGAAAACTACGGGAGTAACTGCTTGGTATGAACTGGAGCCCATACTCAGCTCACCAGATAACCTGCAACGGAGGAAAACCGCCTGGATCCTGAACCATCTCGGCTCCCGCTTTGCTAAACTCATCTCCGAGGACAAATCCCGGCCAGCTTTGTGCAAATTTGGCCTTTCAGGCCCTCCCTGACCATCTTGTTTGGAGTCGGCCCCGAGGACCCGCTCGGCGCCGCACTAAAAAGCGGCGGCAGACAGAAGGGAAACAACCTCTCCCTGCTTCCTCCCGGCCCTTGCCATGGCTGATCTAATCTGCCCTGCCTTCCCGGCACTTCCACAGCGGGCATCCGCACCTCCCTACGGGAAGGCCGCCACCCGATCGGCCTGCACGCCACCAGAGGCTCCTATCAAAGCGGGAGCTGGGAGCGAGCGCAATCCATCATGCTCGATGTGACAGGAGGCCCCCTTCTTATCTGCGCCCCGCGAAACACGGGCGGTTTCAGCTTCCCTCCTTGCTCAGCGAGCCCAACAGCAGCCCCGATCAGATTTCAGCCGCGGGCCGGAGGCGGCCGCGCAGAGGGGACCGCTGGCACCAGCCGGGGCTCCGGGCGGGAAGGTTAAGGAGGCCGGAGAGCCTCTCAGGGGAGATTTGCTCTCCTGCACCAGCCACCGGCTACTGGCACATCTGAGGCTGGTATATTCACTATTCCCGCCTCCCTCACCAGACGTTGGGCGGCCATGGAGCTGCCACCAGGCTTCCAAAGCATCTGCCCTCTGATCCGAACGGCAAAGCTCTTCTTCTTATGCAGGAGGAAGCAGAGAGAGGCAGGGTCAGCCGGGGAAGATGAAGGGGCTCGCACAGGCGGCCCCAAACCAGCCCAAACAGGAGTCCCCCATGCCAGGAAGGGCCACCCCGCACCGATACAAGGAAGAGCTTTGGAAGAACCAGAAACAAACAGCCCGTCTTGGAGACGCTGCAGAAATCCGTTACAGCTTAATTAATATCCCCACCTTCAAGAGGTGGGAGGAAAAAGAAATCTCCGACTTGATCACTCCGTCCTGCAGGAAATGGATCCAGGGACTCGGAGATCTTCGCCCGGCCACGATGAGCTCCGCAGATGCTGGGGTTGGATCAACAACACACCTGAGGATTCACACAACGTGACCAGAGCTGCACAAACCACAGTTATTTTTGTCCCAATGCCAGCTCAGCTCCTAAGAAAACATCCAAGGCGCTCAGACGTTTCTATGATGGCTAAATTTAAAACAAACCTTCTGTAGCCCAGAACCAAATACATTACTAATGCTGTTTTCCCTTAATCACAACTGGAGCTTGTAATATGATTTCTCTGGTGAGCTAAAGCAATATTCTCTCCAAAACCTCATTTTTCAACTACTCAAAAGCCAGGCATTTTAATTAATTGGGCTGAGAATTACCTGCACTAAAAGTTTGCCAAGAAATAACTTTTTTTTTTTAAGGTCTTTTCGATGGGGCATTTTCAGGCTTTTTCTAAATTATTCAAAAATGGTGGTGCCTCCACGGTTGGATTGAGTGTTCTGAAGTTTAAAAGAAGGGGAGGAAATTTGTTTCTTATGAGAAGGCCCTGACTTGTACCACTTCTGCGTAAATCCCTGCCGCCGTGACTAGGTTAACCCCCATCCCCAGAACAACCACCCATGTGCTAGGGGCAGACTGCGAGTCTGTAGTTTTCTCCTAGCATCATTTAAAAGTCTTAAAACACAGAGGGTAATACATTTCTGTCCCCTGCTTGGAAAGGCTCACAGCAGAGAATACAGTGAAAATGAAACCAGAACGCACATTCCCCCTAGAGCATACGGAAAAATCGCTCTTCCAAAGAAGACAGAAACATATTCCCAAATCCTTCACCAATTCCTTACGCGAGGCACAAAAGCCAGAGCTTTAGCTACGCGCGGATCCAAAGGGCTAATTTGGAAGAGAGGTTATTGTGGCCCATCAAACCGGGTTCCTGCTTAGGAATCTTTCACACAGGAAATGCTGGAACCGGGTTTGGTGTGATGTGCGGAGGAGAGCTCTCCGCTGCCCAACGTCTTCTGCTGCTTAGGGGAACGTTTGCTGATGCTCAGCGTTGGGCAGGTCGAGCGACACAGGATGCTGAGAATTTATGTCTATTGATGCCGCACTTAGAGAGCTCCCTCCAGATCCAAAAATATCTCCAGGGAGTCAAAAGCAGAAACCTGTGAAACCGAAGCGGGGAGAGACGAAGAAAATTCCCTGGACAAACACTCCATAAACGCCACTTCGCCTACGGAATCCACTGGGAAATGCTTTTGTCAATGGCCTGGTTTTGCTGCATTTCCACATCCAAACTGTGCAGATGGAGTGTACAACAGCAGGAAAGCATTAAAACCACACGGCAGGCTCACAAAGCTCCTTCTATGTACACACACATAAAAACCCCTCCACAGAACGGTCACGCCAGCTGGGAGAAGCAAGGTCATGCAGGAGCCTTGAGCAGAATTGGAAGAGCTGCACAATTGGAGACATTTTACGAGGTCTTCACAAAGGCTCCCAACGAACAAGAGCGCTTCCCTGGGAAAGGCCCTTTCCTCCCGCCCCACGGCTCCTTGCTGCATCTCCTCCTCACCGAGCGTCGTCTCCGGAGGGATTTCTGGCACGAACTGGGCTCATCCTCCCAGAGGAGGAGCCGTCCCTGCCAGCGCCGGGCTCTCCGGAGCCACGACATCCCTGTCGGTTTCAGTGAAGGGGAGCGGTGCCACCGACACCATCGCTATCTCGAGACCAAGAGCTGCCTCGCTCTGCCCTCGGGGACCTCCTCGAGGCCACACGCACGGCTGGCTCCTGCTCGTCACACCTAGGCCTTTGTTACCACACCAGGAAGATGGACGGAAGGAAAATTTAGCTTCCAGTTCACAGCACAAGAGAGGCCGGGAAAGAGGAGCCCTGTTGGAGGGCTCTGGTTTAAGAGAAAAAGACTTCAGAATCTCACCACAAAAAATGTGTTGGTGCATTGAAGCCCAAAGAGGAAGGCACAAAAGGCTAATCCTGCTGTGAAAACGCACAGACCTGCAAAACTCATCACCTCACACACCTTCCTATAGCAAAAAGAGAGTCGGGAGCACCAGTGAGGGGACGCAAGGCTGCGATTTCCGAGCACACAGCGTGTTAACGCTCTGGAGAACCGTCCTTGCCGGTTCATTGCAGATGTGGAGGTGACAGGGAGCCACCAAGGGCCGCCTCTACACACCGGGGGAAAGTTTGTCCCCTGGCACTCGTCAGGGACACGGGGTGCAGGGACACAGTTCCCACCACAGGTTCCAAGAGCCTGGACGTCCTCGGCCACCAGATGGCCGCAGAGGAGGGAAGCCGGCTGTCCCCGCGCGGTTTGAGGAAGCCCAACCTGTGATCCGGAGGGCTGAGCCAGGGCCAGGTGACAGCAGAGCCGCCTGGTACCTGTCCCTGTCCCCGTCCCGACAGGCTGGTCCTGCGGCTGGGCCACTCCGAGGCAGCTCCTGCGCCTGCTCCGTGCGCAGCGCTCCCCTCCCGTCCCATCTGTCCCTTCCATCACGGTCGTGGTGGGACCCATTCACCTAAGCAGAGCCAGGGAATAAAACCTCCAACAAAGGAAGAGTTACAGCTCTCATCTCCCTCTTCCATCATTATTGCCACTGAAGGGCCGTTTTATCACTTGCAGCTGTGGTCATTCCACGACAACCTGCTGTGCTCGGAGGCAGATGAGACCCGCACATTTGATCTGCATTAAGCCCGTTTCATGGGTTCACATTTCTAGGTGCATTCCAGGCAGCAGTGCCACAGCCAGCCCTTTTCATCCGCCAAGCTCTTCGGTAGCTCCTGTGAAATCTGTCATTTATCTTCCACCTTTTTAGGCTCAGTGTTGGGTAGCAGTATCAGTGTGGCTCCACCAGCGCTAAGGAAGGGCTGGCACTTTCCTGGACTCTGTAGCAAAACCCCTGTCTTTAGCCCAGCAATGTTTCCTAGCAGGGGCTGCTTTCCATTCCCTTCATAAAAGAGGTGCAAATTAAGCAGCTCTTCACACACCCAAGCTAAGAAACCCAGCGCTTTGCTCTCAGGTGCAATGAGGCCTCCGTTTTATCCATCTTCGGGGGACTCTTCGCAGAACAAGGCAGCTGTTCAGCCCCGTTTGCTTTAGGACACTCTTCTGACACATAAAATGGTGCTGGGCAGGGAGGAATTTAAGCTGAACTTCGCTGTATTTGTCCCCAGATTTTTGAATAGATCAGAATAGCAGGGGAAGATAAAAAAGGGCAAGTCCACCCGCTCGTTACAAACCATCGTCCTGCCACAGAGAGCAGCGAGGAGAGCAGGGAAACAAGCTCAGCCTCCGTGAAACCATCCCTGAATCAGAAATGTTATTTTGCTATAACACAACAACTCAGATTATAGGCAGAAGAGAGGAACTGCCTCTCAGCCCAATCCACACTGCAACCTGGAGCAGCTCAACTGCACAAAATCCTTCCAACCTTTTTCTTCCAGAGATGCCAAAAAATAAAGCAGGCCTCAACTTCCATGAGCCCTGCAGTATCCCACAGGTGGTGGCTCTCCTGCACTTTGCTCTCCATGCTGTAGGAAACAAGGAAGTCTCCAGAAAACAAATCCGCTTGGGAACGCCCAGCTATGAATAGCTGAACTCTTACAGCGAGCAGCTGGTAACCAGCTCAGCCCCTGCACCAGGAATGTGTCAATTATAAATAATTAAAAGGTAACAGGGAGGAGAAACAGAGGCATCAGGCAGGTTTCTCCCCGGGCACCTGGAGGTTTCTATCAATCACCCCCTTCACGTTATTGTTTCGTGTATCAGAGTTTCACCAGAAATGCTCAGAGACAGATGACCAGTCACCTACACAGACACATGCACCAAGATCAGCGCTAACAAACTATCACACGGGTTTTTGCCGTTGGGAATTCCCATGTTAGGAACTCCAGGCAACTGGGGTCTTTGCAGCAGGAGATTCAGCGCCGTCCCTTTACCCGGGAAGTGCCACACATGCTCAGTGCCACTGACATGCACCCCAGCAGCCACCGGGCAGCTCAGCCCGCGGAGGGCTCTCAATCCTTGAGACAATTAAAAAGGAAGCCACAAAAATAAGGCAGAGCTGCCTCCAGCGTGGAATGTTTGTCTTTCGTGTGGTATCACATACCTTCCCCTTAAGAAAAAGAAAAACTTTGCAACGAGGGAACTAAACTCTGTTATCTATGAAACAGAAAGAGGCTTTTATGATATTCCACATGCATCACCATCATCGCTGTATCGAGAACAAACACAAGTTGCTGATACCATAAGGAGGAATGTGAGAATTTCTTCAAATGCGTGCTCTGGCATTCGGCTATTACACTGAATTACAGAATTACACTGAGGATCAACAGCAACACACATTTGTTAGGCTGTTTTCCCAGTGCCCAGATTGTGTGCTCTCATTCTGGGCAGATCAGCCGCAGGGGCTCTCCTGCTCAGCCTCCACGTGCCACAAAAATAGAGCATGGGAAGAGGAGTGATGACACCCTCCGCATGGCTCATTCCCAAGGGGAGATCGGAAAACCCACACGGATACTCAGCCTTGTGGCACAAATCCCTGCGGAGCCAAGGACCACTTCTGCAGGGGTAGGAGAAGGCTTAAAGAAGTATGAAGTGAAGAGGCAAGTGGGTCCTTCTCTACCAAGCTCCTCTTCCCCCAAGGCAATTACCTGGAGTCTTCCCATGGCTCTCCCACCTATTCTGCACATTCAAGGGCTGGATTCGCTCTTTCCAACTCAGAAGGAAAAATTCAGACTGTGGCAGGATCCAGTTCTCCCATATCAAATTCATATGAAAAAATCACTCACCCCTCTTCTGCATAAAGATGAAGAGATCATCCAGGAACTCTTTCCGCTCAGGGTCACTATCCAGTTCATAGAGCTGTTGGAATAAATAAGGATGAAGGTACAACCCACATGGAGACATGGAAGAAGCTAATATTGCTTCTTTATTTTAACAAGAGTGATATGGGGTCTGTGCTGAGGGGAAGAAAGGCAGCCAGTAAGGAGGCAAAGCAAAGATGGACTTTGGACCTCAGCAGTGGGCAAGGTTGCAGCAAGAGTTTAAGGACCTTCTTTATGGGAAACTATTAAGAGCAGAAGGTCAGAAAGGAAAGATGAAATAACCAAAAGGTTGGCAAGTGATCAGGGCACATCAGTGATCCCTGCTTAGACGCACCAGGGAGGTAAATGTATCTTCAATTTCTCCTAGCCCTACAGTTCTCTCCTTCACGGATTGTCACCTAAGTGACAAACTTCAGCTCCTTTGAATGAGGAGATGAAAGGACAGAGCTCTTCTGTGGCAACTACTGCCTAAAGGGACAGAGTCCTCTAAAACGAGGCAGAAAGCAGCAACACAAATACGAAAGAAAAAAAAAATCACCTTGGAACCAATTTGCTGCATAAACCATTCTGTGAAAATACTTCCAAAAAGCTGCATTTTCAACATAGGAAGTTTATTCCCCAGAAGAGACACCAACTGCTAGCATTACCTCCTGATGTCTCAGAAGGGGCAGTGTCATCTCTTACAACTTGCTCTCAAGCAAAAAAGTCTCATTTTCACCTTTCAAGAATTCTGAGAAGCCATAAAGGAACTGGCTGAAAGGGCTCAAGTCAGGCTCTTGTGGAGGTCCAGGAGGGTATAAAACAGGACCCAAGAGGGCAGGAACAGAACATTGGGATAAACACATTTCAGCTTCTCTCAAGAGATGCAGCCGACTGTGGCACTCATCTAGTCCAAAAGGAGAGGGGTTTCTTGGATTCATTTCCTTAGTAGCTCTATACTTTCTTGCACATTGAGTTCTGGAGAAGAAAATTCACCCTGGTATTTGCAGAGCAATTAGCTCCGCCCGTTCAGAAAGGGCCAGGTTGGTTTAGAGCGAATTCCTCCGGCTGATGTGACACATTGCTGCCACATTCAGACCTCCTAGCACAGCACTAACCAGTTTCAAGAAGTGAAATCCTGTTCTGCCAGCCACGGAAAGTATTGACCCAAATTTTAAATGTTGTAATTATAGTGGTTATGAAGTCTTAGCACAAGCCACATTCCAGGAATCAAAAGCAACAAAATACCCCAACGCTGCAGGTTTATAGCCAGAGGGCTGCGAGGTACCGTCCGAGCAGTTTTC